TGTACTACACAATAATACAAAATAACACATATATACATCACTCAGATGTCTAGGACCTATTAGACATACTTCTATGAAATTCATATCGAAGATTTTCCTACCAGATATTAAATAGACATTTAGTAATCGTATTTAAGATGTATATGGTTTAAAATGTATGTAAATCTACTTTGGAGATGTGTGTGTGCTTCCTGGAGCCCCCCTGTTAGCTATACATAATAAAACGTCTTTTTACAGCAACATCACAAATATACTACCATTTAGCATCTTTACACTTTCAACAATTTGCTCTAAAGTAGTTCAACAAATGCGAATTTAAAACAAGGAACCGTGTTTTTGGTTTGTAATACTTACATTTGTAAAAACCCTCATCCAAATTTTCCGCCATGTTTGATTATGACGCATCCTCTTCTTCTTTATGATGTATCCTCTCGCGTGGCCTCCTGAGATAGAAGAGTATCCATCGACGAGCACTCAAGAAGCTGGGCAGAAGCAGTCGGACATCCGGGAACTTCTCGACTACTCTTTTATGAATACTGAAGTTTTGGAAATACTTATTCGCTCGCCTACTGCTTTTCCCCTACTATATAGTAGAGAAGTAGGCGGTTTCGGACGCAGCCAAAGAACATTCATTTACTTATGTTTTCTTAAAAACAATGTGTGTTTGTGTTAACGGCTTTTAATTGCAAGGATGCTTTGGTCATAATCATAGATTGCAAATGTGTGCGATTTCAGACATTTATGACATGTTTTATGATATGTGTTAGTATTCGAAGTGACAGGGATTCTGCTGCTGGTCTTTAAAAGTCTTATTTCGCCTAAAATGAGCCTTTAGAGACGTCTTAAAATAGAGCAGAAAGACTTATATTAATAAAGTAGGCTAATGACACTGATTGTTGCATGCGTTGCAAACAATGTTTCTCATATTTGTCATCTTTTTCATTAACTAACATTATCAAATATTAATAGATACTGTAACAAATGTATTGCTCATTGTTAATTCATGTTAATTAATACATTAACTAATATTAACCATTGACACCTTATTGTAAAGTGTTACCTCTTAAATTTACCTTCATGTGACTGGCCGAAATCCTTTAAATGTGAGATATAGAAACCTTTACTTGACTGTAAATGTGCTTTTGTTGAGATGCATGCTACTGTCCTCAGAAAAGGAGGAAACATAAAAATAGAACAATGCATCTCATGCTGTGATAAATATCACTGCCCATTTTGTGAAACCTGGGTCTACAAATGTAATGTGATGTTAAACTGGATGTTTTTTTTGTGAATCTGCCTTCTACAAATGTAATGTGATGTTAAACTGGATGTTTTTGGTTATTGTGAGAGCATCACTAGACATATAATGCATTAAATTTTATTCCATCTAAAGGCACACCTTCAGAATCCGTTCAAATTGATGACAGACCCTCAGGAGACAAAAAGCGAAAACATGACCAAT